CTCACACACATCAACACCACACGCACCACACACTTGGCATGACCATTCCTCAGCGGTAGTCACCTTGCCTTGCCCGCTTTCTGCACGACGGTGAAACTCAGCACAGCCCGTCCTCTGACAGTCAGCACATGGGCGCGCCTCAAACGGGCCTGGGTCACGTTGTTCACCCTCACAGGTGCAGCCTCTGACTTCAGCGCACCACAGGCAACTCTCCCTCAGGGGACACCACTTGCACACAACTAACCCATGCGACCTCCAACATGCGTCACACACCCCTGTCTGTCTATCAGCACTGTGCATGCGCTTCAGGCTCACACAGGCGTATGACTGACCGCTACCATGGGACGAATGCAGCAAGAAAGCCAAGCAGGAGCAGCATCCTACGAACACACAACACCACATACAGTCACACATTCACGCACGTGTCTTTTGTTCATGACTGGCACTTGCCACAGCCTTGCCAATGCGGGGGAGTGTTGACGAAAGACATTGGCGCCCCTGTGTCACTTTGTGGTTTATTCATGTTCGACTTGCTTTCTTGTTTTCGTCCACTTCTTCTACAAAATTTCCTCTTGTGTTCACCCACCAATACAATGGTCGACAACGCACATGAGAGAACAGCAACCACACAGCACACAGCCACACCATCACAGACACACACACACGCATACAGCCAGTCCATGTCTTAACAGATTATGAGACCCACGACACTACCGCAACAACAACAACAACAACAACAACAACAACAACAGCAGCAGCAGCAGCAGCAGCAGCAGCAGCAGCAGCAGCAGCAGCAGCAGCAGCAGCAGCAGCAGCAATGGCAGCGGCAGCGACAAAACCAGACGGACCTCCGGCTGTCGCGCACGTACACAGTGCCACGCAGGCAACACGTAGCAGCAGCGACGGCATGTTGACACACCAATTGCTTCTCGACGTGTTACCGCAGTCAAGCACACACGTGCTCTCTGCAACGCACACGTGCCCGGCGCACAACGCCGTATGCTGCCGCAGACACACACGCACTCGTGCTCGCAGCCACTCACGCGCGCACGTGCTGGTTCTCGACGTCCTACCGCAGACACACACGCACGTGCTGCCCCACGCGGAGTTGCCGCAGCCACGCAGGCACTGATGCTCACAGCCACGCACAGGTGCTCGGTGCACAACGCCGTGCTGCCCCAGACACGCACACGTGCACGGGCTACTTCTCGACGTGCTGCCGCAGGCACGCGCGCACGTGCTGCTCCACGCCGAGTTGCGCAGCCACGCAAGCACACGTGCTCGGGCTGCGTCTCGACGCGCTGCCGCAGCAACGCATGCGCTCATGCTCGCAGCAACGCACGCGCGCTCGGGCTGCTTCTCGACGTGCTGCTGCAGGCACGCATGCGCTCATGCTCGCAGCAACGCACACGTGCTCGGGCTGTTTCTCGACGTGCTGCCGCAGCAACGCACACACACGTGCTCGCAGCAACGCACGCGTGCTCGGTGCACAACACCGTGCTGTCGGAGCCACGCACGCACACGTGCTCGCAGCAACGCACACGTGCTCGGGCTGCTTCTCGACGTGCTGCCGCAGCCACGCATGCGCTCATGCTCGCAGCAACGCACACGTGCTCGAGCTGCTTCTCGACGTGCTGCCGCAGCCACGCATGCGCTCATGCTCGCAGCAACGCACACGTGCTGGGGCTGTTTCTCGACGTGTTGCCGCAGCAACACACACACACGAGCTCGCAGCCACGCACACGTGCTCGGGCTGCTTCTCGACGTGCTGCCGCAGCCACGCATGCGCTCATGCTCGCAGCAACGCACGCGCGCTTACCGCACAACGCCGGGCTGACGCGGCCACACGCGCGCGCGGCACCACGCATTGCGCACACGCGGTGCACCAGTCGCAGTGCGCCACTCACCGCGCACACGCATCGTGCACACGCGCTGTACCACGCAACGTACAGACATGCTGCGCCAGTCGCTGTGCACACGCACGCACACGTGCTGCACCACTCGCCGTGCACACGCGCTGCGTCACTCGCCGTGCACACGCGCTGCGTCCCTCGCCGTACACACGTGCTGCGCCACTCACCGTGCACACGCACCGTGCACACGCGCTGTACCACGCAACGTACAGACATGCTGCGCCAGTCGCTGTGCACCACGGACGCACACGTGCTGCACCACTCGCCGTGCACACGTGCTGCGTCACTCGCCGTGCACACGCGCTGCGTCCCTCGCCGTACACACGTGCTGCGCCACTCACCGTGCACACGCACCGTGCACACGCGCTGTACCACGCAACGTACAGACATGCTGCGCCAGTCGCTGTGCACACGCACGCACACGTGCTGCACCACTCGCCGTGCACACGTGCTGCGTCACTCGCCGTGCACACGCGCTGCGTCCCTCGCCGTGCACACGCGCTGCGTCCCTCGCCGTGCACACGTGCTGCGCCAGACGCTGTGCACACGTGCACACGCGTTGCGTCACTCGCCGCGCACACGCACCGTGCACACGTGCTGCGCCAATCGCCGTGCACACGCGCTGCGCCACTCGCCGTGCACGCACACACACGAGCTGCACCACTCGCCGCGCCAGTCGCTGTGCACACGCACG